GACGAGGACATACAATGCCGTATCAACAAGGCTAGATGTGCCTTCAACTCGCTGCGCCCGATGTGGAGGTCCACGGCCCTGTCACTCCGGAGCAAAATTGGGATTTTCAACTCAAATGTCAAGGCAGTGCTACTCTATGGCTCGGAGACCTGGAGGGTTACGAAGACAAATACTGATAGGCTACAGGCGTTCGTAAATAAATGCTTACGACATATACTCAAAATAAGATGGCCAGACAAAATATCAAACAAAGACCTGTGGCAAATTTTAAAACAACAGCCGATAGAGAAAGATATTAAGGCCCGTAAATGGGGATGGATCGGACACACGTTAAGAAAAGAAAAAGAAAACATCGCAAAACATGCATTGGACTGGAATCCCCAGGGGAAAAGGAGGGTGGGCCGGCCAAGGAAAACATGGAAGAGAACGGTTGAGGAGGAGGCGAAAACAGCTGGGCTCTCATGGGCACAGATTAGATGAGCAGCCCAAAACCGAGTCCGCTGGAGATGTGTGTTTGCAGCCCTTTGCTCCCCAGGGGCCACAAAGGAGTGATGATGATGATGATGCAGTGGGGCGCTTATGGGAGCCATGCGTTACATAACCATAAGGGCGCCAGTGCTACCTCTGGTTCAAATTTAGTCATCGATTGTAGCAGCCCATTGTATTTTACGTGTAGAGCGCTCTTTAAAGCAAATGTAGGAGCTATAGTGCTGATGGGCAACCCGCCGCGCTGCTGGTCACAAGGCGACAGGGCTCCTCAGTTTGACTGCTATGTACACAGCTTTGGTTCTGCTATGTACACAGATTTGGTTCTGCTATGTACACAGCTTTGGTTGTACTATGTACACAGCTTTGGTTGTACTATGTACACAGCTTTGGTTCTGCTATGTACACAGCTTTGGTTGTACTATGTACACAGCTTTGGTTGTACTATGTACACAGCTTTGGTTGTACTATGTACACAGCTTTGGTTCTGCTATGTACACAGATTTGGTTCTGCTATGTACACAGCTTTGGTTGTACTATGTACACAGCTTTGGTTGTACTATGTACACAGCTTTGGTTGTACTATGTACACATCTTTGGTTGTACTATGTACACAGCTTTGCTTGTACTATGTACATAGCTTTGGTTCTGGTCATTTAATGAACACAAAAAAAGATATGGTGATAACACTACGTCAGTAAAACAAATGGGAGAAGCTACCCGCTTACACACATACACCCCCCTCTACACACATACACCCCACGCTCTCTCTCTCTCTCTTTCACACACACACACACACACACACACACGTACCTACATAAAACAATTCGCATCGCTTATTCAGTGAGACACATTTTGTCTGAAAATTGTGTCCGAGGTTTTGGGTCGTGTGATATTTTGTATAAAATATTTTGTTTTGAGATCATTAAGCTTGTAGTAGTTTCCGGGAAGTGATTATTTCCGCCAACGATAATAGATCAAATGTGATCTATATTTAGATTATAAATGTTATGTATTTTACTTCTTCTAACCCAAATTAACAATAATAATGATAATAATAACTTTATTTAAATACGGTCACAACAGAAGTCACGAGGGCCCTTTTTCAAATTGGCCGTTGTTGTTTTTTAACATTAAAAAACATAATTTTAATTTTTTTTAAAGCAATTAATTTCTAAAGACAAAGCAATAGTATAGTATTCAAAAATTAGGAATTAAGAAATAATATTTCATAGTTATAATACACAATGAGATAAATGAGAATGTTGCAATGGAGGTCTCTATATAGTTTTTGTTTTAATTTAGTTTTGAATATATTTTCAGATATATATATATATATATATATATATATATATATATATACATATATATATAGATATATATATATAGATATATATATATATATATATATATATATATATATATATATATATATATATATTAGTTTTATTGTATAACGAAGGTGTTCCACAAATTAGAACCAGAGTTGGCGAAGCTATGTTTTTTGGGGAAAAGTTGTATAGAGGATTTGTAAACTAAGACGACGATTTAATTTTGTGCTGTATGAAAACATATGTGATAAGTAATAAAGGGCTGTATCGTAAAATATTTTATATAGAAAAGTTGCTTTGGTATATATTATGTTTTTATCTAATGGAATAAAGCTATTTGAAATGAACGAATATAAACTACTAGATAAGCCAGTCACCTGTTGAAGTATGTCTGTGTGCCTGTGTGTCTGTATGTCTCTGAACACGATAACTTGAATACCGTTACAGCTAGGTTAATAAAATTTCACCTCTAAGTACTAGCGTACCCGTCCTCGCGCGTTGCCACGGGGATAGAAGAAAGTCTGACGAAATATATAAGAAGGGTTTCATCAATGCTTTACTAATCCTATATTCTTAGACGCGTGACCTTTCTAAAACTTAAATTATTAAGTTATTTAAATGTAAACAGTGCCTGCGCTTGGATCATAAATATCGGGACACGGGTTTACCTACACTACAGCAAGAAAACCGCATGAAAATCTTAAATGTACGTTAATCACTAACCCTAATAGTTAGGTAGAACTTTAGTGACCGCCCAGGTGTCAGGGGCGTAAAGTGAAGCTCTCGGGAGCCTCCGATTACACTACCGCAGAGGCGCCATCGTGCTCCCAGGATAACCCAGAGCGCCAAATAGCATCCTGAAACAATGATGCAGATTGAGTCATTCGCTAAAGTGCACAAAACAACATGTTTTGTTTCTTTAACACGAAGAACTAAAAGTATTTGACGTGTTATAAACATCAGTGTGACTGATACAATTTGTTAGCGTGAACTGTAGGCTATGCATTGGCATTGTTTGGATTTTTTTATGGACAAAAGGAAACAACCTAGTTGATAATTAAACCTTGATCCGACTTTTATTTTTTTACTAGCCGTCCCGGCCAGGCCCTGCTCTGGCTTCTGTGAAAAACCTTTCTGCTAAAGACCATTACCTGTGTGTTTAGTAATCATCATAAACCCGGCACTGCCCACCCAAACCACAACCAACCAAAACCAAAACAACAAAACGCAAACATAACGCTAACACAATTACAAATACAAACGAAAACAAAAACTTAACAACAAACCCAACCACAACCACAAACACCAATACGAACACAAAGAAAAAAACAAACGAAAAAACAAACGAAAACAAACCAAATCCAAACGCAAAACCAACCACAAACACAAACCCAAAGAAAAAAAACACAAACGAAAAAGCAAACGAAAACAAACCAAATCCAAACGCAAAACCAACCACAAACACAAACACAAACCCAAAGAAAAAAAACACAAACGAAAACGAAAAAAGCTTAATAATCGACTATAGTACCCCAACTTATTCATAGTCTTTTTACACTCACTTAAACGAACGTAGGTGCCAAACCAAACCAAATGAACAATTATAATACTCCAAGCTTATTCGTGAAATACCTACAACATTTGCACTTGATCAATCTCCGCTAATTATGTAATTTTTTTCCCCCAACACCAAAACAATAAATAATAAAGTAATAAAAAGTAAATTCTTTCCCACTAATGCAATGTTTTATAAAGGGAAGTAATTGTGTTTTCCTAATTTATCAAAGGGAAGTAAGTGCTAAAGGACTAAATATAAATAATTTTCAGACATAATTAGAATTTTTGTTATTTTTTTAAAATTGTGTTTAATGAACATGCCGACAATTATTACTATCAGTTTGAAAAATGAAAATTATTTCCCAACACTTTCAATAGTAATTTTTTAACTCATAAATTTAGACAAATGCGCACGATAATAGTCTAACACTTAAATCCATTGAAGTATGTCAACGACAAACATATTTATTTTTACATACAGAATTGAGCTTTATATATTAGATATACCGTATATAGAGAAAAATCGCACATTTATGGTCTTGTTACAGTACCTTGTCTAACTTCTGGTCTTGTTACAGCACCTTGTCTAACTTCTGGTCTTGTTACAGCACCATGACGTCTAACTTCCGGTCTTGTTACAGCACCTTGACGTCTAACTTCTGGTCTTGTTACAGCACCTTGACGTCTAACTTCTGGTCATGTCAGCACCTTGTCTAACTTCTGGTCTTGTTACAGCACCTTGTCTAACTTCTGGTCTTGTTACAGCACCATGACGTCTAACTTCTGGTCTTGTTACAGCACCATGACGTCTAACTTCTGGTCTTGTTACAGCACCATGACGTCTAACTTCCGGTCTTGTTACAGCACCATGACGTCTAACTTCCGGTCTTGTTACAGCACCATGACGTCTAACTTCCGGTCTTGTTACAGCACCATGACGTCTAACTTCTGGTCTTGTTACTGCACCATGACGTCTAACTTCCGGTCTTGTTACAGCACCATGACGTCTAACATCTGGTCTTGTTACAGCACCATGACGTCTAACTTCTGGTCTTGTTACAGCACCTTGTCTAACTTCTGGTCTTGTTACAGCACCTTGTCTAACTTCTGGTCTTGTTACAGCACCATGACGTCTAACTTCTGGTCTTGTTACAGCACCATGACGTCTAACTTCTGGTCTTGTTACAGCACCATGACGTATAACTTCTGGTCTTGTTAGAGCACCATGACGTCTAACTTCTGGTCTTGTTACAGCACCATGACGTCTAACTTCTGGTCTTGTTACAGCACCATGACGTCTAACTTCTGGTCTTGTTACAGCACCTTGTCTAACTTCTGGTCTTGTTACAGCACCTTGTCTAACTTCTGGTCTTGTTACAGCACCATGACGTCTAACTTCTGGTCTTGTTACAGCACCTTGTCTAACTTCTGGTCTTGTTACAGCACCTTGTCTTACTTCTGGTCTTGTTACAGCACCTTGTCTAACTTCTGGTCTTGTTACAGCATCATGACGTCTAACTTCTGGTCTTGTTACAGCACCTTGTTTAACTTCTGGTCTTGTTACAGCACCTTGTTTAACTTCTGGTCTTGTTACAGCACCTTGTCTAACATCTGGTCTTGTTACAGCACCATGAAGTCCCTGCTGATTGCCCTACTGCTGCTGGTGTTGTGTGACGCCCAGATCCACTTCACGCCCGACTGGGGCAACAACGGCAAGCGCTCGCTGGAGGAGGACCACACGGAGCGGATCTTGGAGGACGTCACGGCCTCCTGCCTCCAACACTCCGACCTTAAGTTTCTACTGCAGATTGTCCACATTTTAACGGTAGGTGGCATGGTGACACTTTGGTGACTCGTGGGGTGGTGACACGTTTGGTGACACGTGGGGTGGTGACACTTAGGTGACTCGTGGGTTGGTGACTCGTGGGGTGGTGACACGTTTGGTGACTCGTGGGGTGGTGACACGTTTGGTGACTCGTGGGGTGGTGACACGTTTGGTGACTTGTGGGTGGTGACACGTTTGGTGACTCGTGGGTTGGTGACTCGTTTGGTGACTTGTGGTTTGGTGACTATTGGGTTGGTGGCTCGTTTGTTGACTCTTTTAGTGACTCGTTTGAAGACTGGTGAATTTGTGAATTGTTTGGTGAAAGGTGCAATTGTAAAATTATTTTAGAACAACTGTTTGCCGAGGTATTTAGCTCACATGGGTCATTGTTTACATAGGTCATTGTTCACGTGGGTCATTTTTTACATGGTCATTGTTTACATGGGTCATTGTTTACATGGTCATTGTTTACATGGGTCATTGTTTACATGGGTCATTGTTTACATGGGTCATTGTTCACATGGGTCATTGTTTCCTTTGTTTGTGGACGTGTAACAACATAAACCTTGTGATGACCTTGTGTTGACCTTGTGTTGACCTTGTGGCGATCTTGTATTGACCTTGTGTTGACTGTGTTGACTCTGTGATGACCTTGTTATGACCCTTTGATGACCTTGTAATGACTTATGATGAAATTCTGATGCCCGTGTGATGACCTTCTTATGACCTTGTGATGACTTTGTGATGACCTTGTGATGACCTTGTGATACCTTATCTCCACAGTCTGAATCCCAACGACTGAGCGCATGTTTCAAGGAGCTGCAACGATAAGGTCAGTGACGTGTCCAGGTAGTGGTGTGTCGTGTTGGTCGTGTGTCCAGGTAGTGGTGTGTCCAGGTAGTGGTGTGTCCTGGTAGTGGTGTGTCCAGGTAGTGGTGTGTCCTGGTAGTGGTGTGTCCAGGTAGTGGTGTGTCCTGGTAGTGGTGTGTCCAGGTAGTGGTGTGTCCAGGTAGTGGTGTGTCGTGTTGGTCATGTGTCCAGGTAGTGGTGTGTCCAGGTAGTGGTGTGTCCAGGTAGTGGTGTGTCGTGTTGGTCATGTGTCCAGGTAGTGGTGTGTCCAGGTAGTGGTGTGTCCTGGTAGTGGTGTGTCCAGGTAGTGGTGTGTCCTGGTAGTGGTGTGTCCAGGTAGTGGTGTGTCCAGGTAGTGGTGTGTCGTGTTGGTCATGTGTCCAGGTAGTGGTGTGTCCAGGTAGTGGTGTGTCCAGGTAGTGGTGTGTCGTGTTGGTCATGTGTCCAGGTAGTGGTGTGTCCAGGTAGTGGTGTGTCGTGTTGGTCATGTGTCTAGGTAGTGGTGTGTCCAGGTAGTTGGTTGTCCTGTTGGTCATGTGTCCAGGTAGTTGTGTGTCCAGTCGGTCGTGTGTCCAGTTGGAAGTGTGTCCAGGTAGTGGTGTGTCCAGTTGGTGGTGTGTCCAGGTAGTGGTGTGTCCAGTTGGTGGTGTGTCCAGGTAGTGGTGTGTCCAGTTGGTGGTGTGTCCAGGTAGTGGTGTGTCCAGGTAGTGGTGTGACCAGGTAGTGGTGTGTCCAGGTAGTGGTGTGTCCAGGTAGTGGTGTGTCCAGTTGGTGGTGTGTCCAGGTAGTGGTGTGTCCAGTTGGTGGTGTGTCCAGGTAGTGGTGTGTCCAGTTGGTGGTGTGTCCAGGTAGTGGTGTGTCCAGGTAGTGGTGTGTCCAGTTGGTGGTGTGTCCAGGTAGTGGTGTGTCCAGGTAGTGGTGTGTCCAGTTGGTGGTGTGTCCAGGTAGTGGTGTGTCCAGTTGGTGGTGTGTTCAGGTAGTGGTGTGTCCAGTTGGTGGTGTGTCCAGGTAGTGGTGTGTCCAGTTGGTCGTGTGTTCAGGTAGTGGTGTGTCCAGTCGGTCGTGTGTCCAGTTGGAAGTGTGTCCAGGTAGTTGTGTGTCCAGTTGGTGGTGTGTCCAGGTAGTGGTGTGTCCAGTCGGTCGTGTGTCCAGTTGGAAGTGTGTCCAGGTAGTGGTGTGTCCAGTTGGTGGTGTGTCCAGGTAGTGGTGTGTCCAGTTGGTGGTGTGTCCAGGTAGTGGTGTGTCCAGTTGGTGGTGTGTCCAGGTAGTGGTGTGTCCAGGTAGTGGTGTGTCCAGGTAGTGGTGTGTCCAGGTAGTGGTGTGTCCAGTTGGTGGTGTGTCCAGGTAGTGGTGTGTCCAGGTAGTGGTGTGTCCAGTTGGTGGTGTGTCCAGGTAGTGGTGTGTCCAGTTGGTGGTGTGTCCAGGTAGTGGTGTGTCCAGTTGGTGGTGTGTCCAGGTAGTGGTGTGTCCAGGTAGTGGTGTGTCCAGTTGGTGGTGTGTCCAGGTAGTGGTGTGTCCAGGTAGTGGTGTGTCCAGTTGGTGGTGTGTCCAGGTAGTGGTGTGTCCAGTTGGTGGTGTGTTCAGGTAGTGGTGTGTCCAGTTGGTGGTGTGTCCAGGTAGTGGTGTGTCCAGTTGGTCGTGTGTTCAGGTAGTGGTGTGTCCAGTCGGTCGTGTGTCCAGTTGGAAGTGTGTCCAGGTAGTTGTGTGTCCAGTTGGTGGTGTGTCCAGGTAGTGGTGTGTCCAGTCGGTCGTGTGTCCAGTTGGAAGTGTATCCAGGTAGTGGTGTGTCCAGTTGGTGGTGTGTCCAGGTAGTGGTGTGTCCAGTTGGTGGTGTGTCCAGGTAGTGGTGTGTCCAGTTGGTGGTGTGTCCAGGTAGTGGTGTGTCCAGGTAGTGGTGTGTCCAGGTAGTGGTGTGTCCAGGTAGTGGTGTGTCCAGTTGGTGGTGTGTCCAGGTAGTGGTGTGTCCAGGTAGTGGTGTGTCCAGTTGGTGGTGTGTCCAGGTAGTGGTGTGTCCAGTTGGTGGTGTGTCCAGGTAGTGGTGTGTCCAGTTGGTGGTGTGTCCAGGTAGTGGTGTGTCCAGTTGGTGGTGTGTCCAGGTAGTGGTGTGTCCAGTTGGTGGTGTGTCCAGGTAGTGGTGTGTCCAGTTGGTGGTGTGTCCAGTTGGTGGTGTGTTCAGGTAGTGGTGTGTCCAGGTAGTGGTGTGTGCAGGTAGTGGTGTGTCCAGTTGGTGGTGTGTCCAGGTAGTGGTGTGTCCAGGTAGTGGTGTGTCCAGTTGGTGGTGTGTCCAGTTGGTGGTGTGTCCAGGTAGTGGTGTGTCCAGTTGGTGGTGTGTCCAGGTAGTCGTGTGTTCAGGTATAGATGTCTTCAGGTAGTGATGTCTTCAGGTAGTGGTGTCTTCAGGTAGTGATGTCTTCAGGTAGTGATGTCTTCAGGTAGTGGTGTCTTCGGGTAGTGCCGTTTTCGGGTAGTGATGTCTTCAGTTAGTCGTGTCTTCGGGTAGTGGTGTCTTCAGGTATATTTAATATAGATGGCATTTGGATATTGGTCAACTTAAATATTGACCAACATTACTTGACCAATATTACTTGACCAATACTACTTGACCAATATTACTTGACCAATATTACTTGACCAACATTACTTGACCAATATTACTTGACCAACATTACCTCTTACAGTTAACCAACATCACGTGATTTTCTATTTTTAGAACCACCCGCCAGCCAGCACAAAGTTTTGTTCTATTTATTGACCTGACTTGTGACGTCAGCAAAGAGACGAGAGGTCAAAGAAAATGAAATAAAGCAGATGACAA